TATATATATATATTCAATTTAGGATGTTATATATACGTAGATTGTAAGTAACAATAATCTATAAATGTTTGACCATTTTGACCCCCAATACCGACCGATTTATATATGTAACTTATTAAAAAATAATTAAATTTTTAGTGTTATAAGTTGTAGTGCTCTATTAAAACTTAAGTTGTAGCAACAATATATATATATATATATATATATATATATATATATATATTTCTATTTTCGACCGATATCGATCGAAAATTTTATAATTATATGATAAATAATTATTTATTATAAAAAAATAATTGACGTAGGGCGGGAAAAATTAAATTAAAATTCCGACCGACATCGGTCAATATTCTATAATTCTTCTAATTAATCATTATTTTTGTAGATAGTATGCAAGTCTGACTAGTTTTTGGTCAAAGATTGACTATTTTTCGACCGAAAGCGGTCGAAAATTTAAATATTTTTTTGTGGGACCACATAAATCGACCGATATAAGTCGGTATTCTTATTTATAATTTTTTATTTGATTTATTTTACCATTTTACTTTATTTCGGACCAATTTCGATCGGTATTTCTTTCCTATTAATGTCGGTCGGAATGACTCGAACGAAATTTGGCGGTTTTTTAGTAGTGATTAGTATATTTTATTTAACTATATATATAATAAGTAAAACTCCCCCTGGACGACGAAGGGCATTCCAGTAAATATAAACTGCTTTATGAGTAAATTAGTAATTTGATCATTAGGGACACGTGTATACTGTAAAGCCTCTTCTTCTTGTTTGCTATTCTTAAATTACACCCAGTTCCAAATGATCTTTTCCTCCCACACCTCTCTCCGGTATTTCTCCGTTGCTTTTAACTTGGTATCATCTCCGGTATATTCCAGCCCATTTATGATTTATAAATTTCATTTTTAGTTGTTGTAAATTTTTCCCTTTTCTTCCTTTCTTGCACTGACTTTTACCCATCCCTTTTGGATTCCTTTGAAAGTTTGTGCATTTTTACTTCAATTTTAATTTCCTACTCTTCCTCATAATTTCTTGCTAGATATTTTAGATGCATGCCAGTAATTTTGTCTGATCTTCACATGCATCTTTGAAATTAGATAGCTGGTGCATGTAATTGTGTATTATATTGGATCGATTGCGCGTTGATGTCTTTTTGACTTTTGGAACTAATTAATTACTTAAATCAAAACTTCTGTAAATCAATTTGTAGTATTAAGCTTGTTGTTGGAAGATTGGGTCTTGCTACTTATAAATTCTTTTAGTTATTGACAGTATCTACAAAGGGGGTTGAAAATGCAAGAGAATTCAAGTGTAAAAAGGACTTAGAGGAGCCAACAATTGTAGCAGAGGAGTAGCAAACTCAGAAATGACGAGGTAAAATGGCTAAACTGAAAAAGCTTTTTATCACAGAATGAATATGGATTATCGGCGGCAAGTATGTGGACGCAGGTTCACCATTAGACTGTTCTGAAAATTTGTATGCAACATATGATTTTAGCCACTTAAGGTATCATAGGTGTTATAATTTTGGACGTTGGTTATTTAAGATATTTGTTTGGAAATGTTTTTTAACTTTTTTCTTTGTATGCCATATATGTCTATTTATGGACCGCAAATATATGCATTTTGCTCTTGATATTATTTGTTGAAATTTGCAGAAATGTTCTGTGGGGGACTGGGGTTGTGTAGGCAGGATGAGGAGAACTTTACAAAGTCAAGTAAGTCTTTGAATCCCTTCGGACAATTTTATAAATATTTTAATCTTGGCAACTATGGCTTCTTCATTAGCAACTTTCATACTGAGTTTCATTTCTCTACTCCTTATGCAATTAACCATATTCAAGTTACTTCGCTTCTGAGTGTTTTTGCTTTGTTTGTATGAATAAAGGTGTTTTTAAGGATTTATTCCTTAGCATTCTCACTAAAGGTAGATTTATTAAAAAGGAGTATCTTTTTCAGAGCATTCTTTGGAATGAAAAATATTTATCATGCATTCGTGATTCATCATCCTTCAATCATAATACTTATGTTCAAAATGAGCTCACAGAACGGCTGAGCAGAAAAGAAGTTCTATGTATTATAGTTGTATCAAATTTTAGGCAAATGAGTATTAAGTTATGTTGTACAATTATGAGAAAAGGACTATGAGAAATTATAGAGTACAACAGGAGATTTCATTAGTGAAATGGCCAAAGTGCTTAAGTAACAAATATATAATCTGCACTGATTTAAGAATCAATGTAACAATTTTCATGAGAAGTTTAGCCTAGGTAAAAAGTACAAAAGTTTTTATGTTGTACTTCCCTAATGATTCAAAGAAAAATTTTAATGGGTTTGGTTTTGATCTCGATACATCTATTGGTGTGGTACAACCTGAAGATAGCCCTTGCGGTGTCTTTGCAACAATACTTTGGTTTCCCTTTTATTTCTCTCATGTGAAAGTAAATTAAACTTAATTCAAAGCAAATATTCACTGATTTTGTCATTTTAACTTTCTCTGGTCTTGGGCAGATAGTTTAGTTTTGTAGTTTAACCCGAAGCAGTAAAGGTAAGGCAAGCTCAAATGAACAACTATTCCATTTTTCATTCTCAGGTCCTCCGTTGTTTTCAACATTCTATGCTTGTGAGAAATTTAACTTTCTTTCCCTGATGAAAAAGGCGGAAAGCACAGAGAGATACTTATTTAAAAAAATAAGCAAGAGAGATAACTGGTGCATTAATTGTTTTGAGATCACATGCAAGTGTTCAAAGAAATCATTTATCTATCTTGGTGTGATTACAATGACGCAATAAGGAACAACTTATTATAACATCATCCAGAGAATGATCTAATTTGAAAATGCAGCTCTGAACCATTTTTGCACATCTTAGCCATTCAGACGCTGAAAATTTAATAATTACCTAAATATTTCTATGGAGAAAGGAAGAAAACCAAAAAAAAGGATCGGCAAGTAACATCTCGATTATTGAATCACTCCCAACAAATTGATAGAGTCAATCTGGTGCTATTTCATTGTCTATTCTATTTTATTTGATTTTTCCCTTTTTATTTTCATTAATGTCGAAGCTTCGTAACTTTTCTTTTTCGTTTTCTGTTATTTACTTGTATAAATCGAATGTATTGTGTTTAAACTAAATCGAATGTATCATGTTTAAACTTACTTGAACAGCTGGTGTTGGACAAAATGAGTTCACTCATTTGTCTATGCGATTGAATGTGGTGTTACAAGCTTTTGCATTAAATGAGAATAAAAATGATAATTGTTACCTATATTTCTTAATTTATCCTTTTACTTTTAAAAATAAAATAATAATCTAGCTAGCAGTGAGGATTACAATGTCTAGACTGTCTAATCTATTGGCAACCATGTTGGTTAGATGCTCTTATAGTTTCTGCTTTATCTGTTCAATTCTATAGTCAGTCATTACATTTTAGCAGCATACCTTCGCGGTGATATTTGAGTAATATTTCCAGGTAGAGAAAGTCTCTGTTGTAGCTCACTTTTGACTTTTAGGCTTATACATACATGTTTTGACGATCAATTGAACAAATGTAATTAAAATTATGACTTGTTTTCTTCTTTCACTTACTGGTCGTATTGATATACTATCTCTTATTTGTGCATTTTAAAATTTGGTTTCACTTTAACTAAAATAACAACAGGTTGATGTTATTTGAGAAATCTCATAGCAATTGTTTTGAAGAAAAAGAGTACATTGATCCTTATAGTGTATTTTTCTGATGTCTTTATGTGTGCTTCTCTGTTCTGTTGTGTACCATTCTTTTCTTTAATTCTTAGGAGAGTAGACAGCTCAAAACATAACAATTAGTTGCCTCATGAGTTGATGTATAACCTACTTGAATCTTTCACCCTTTTTTTTAACTGAAGCAGCTCATGCTCCAATAGTGCCAAGAAGAGCATATGGTTATTAAGCTTTCTTGTGATACTTTTTACATTTTTCCTGTCCTTTGAGAACCCTTTATGGAGCTTTATTTCTCTAGCAGCAGTTGCACTATTAAACTGTTGATTCGTCTTAATTTATTATCACCAAATTGTTATCGTTTTTTACACTGCTCAGTTTTAGCTTGAATTCGTTTAAGTCATTTATCATAAGACTGAAAGATTTTTGTTTGTTTGTTTGTTAGGGTACCAGGCTCGAACTCTAACCTAGTGGAATAAAGACGACTCTCTCAGCCACTATGAACAATACTGTTTAAGATTATAAGATCTTGAAATTTCTGATGTTGTGAGTTTTTCAATAACAGAGTGACCTACCATCTAGCAATAGCAAATATTTTTATCTCAGCTATAACGGAATACTGCAGAAAATCAAAAAATAGTAGTTGTAGCTACCAAATATTCATACCACGAAGCCCAAAGATTTTATGATGTTTGGTTGTAGATGTTTCCTAAAGAACTCGTGAACTGCCAAAGCTAAGATGTTAAGAAATCGAAGTGCTCATGAAAGTTTAAAGGTTATTGAATGAGCGTGTTGACTCCAATCACTTTATATTTTTCAAGAGGCTAAGATGTAAGAAAATCTAAATGCTTATGGAAGTGTAGAGGTTGCTGAATGAGTTCTGATAGTTAATTTATAAGATCAAAAGTTATGAGTTCTAATGGAAAAACTTGAAGTTAGTTCATTCTTGACACTTCTATGTTACTGGATCTTGTTTCATGCATATGCTACTATCTCTGTTAACCAATTTCATTCTTCTTGCCACTTTTTCTTCTTTTAAGAAGAGTATTGAGCTGCAAATTGATAAGCTTTATCAGCTAATGGTATGATGCTAGAATATTTCAGCAATTTATAGGAGACAAAATATGGATTTTGATATGTGTCTCATCTCTTCTGGTCTTGAACTGAAGTCTGTGCATTGCAGGGAGTTTTTTCTTCATCTAGAGGTACCTGCTATTACTACTCTAACAAAGTACTTTCCAGAGCCAGCTAAAGAAGAACAACTCAATACTTTCTTTTGAAACAATTCATATGTTACAAACATTCAAGCACTTGGCAAAATTGCCTCCATCTTTTGAGATTCTGCTAAAGGCTTGAATTTTTATTTTCCCTTTCTTCTATTCCCTTCCTTGTGAGGTAGGTAGTTGTGTGCTCTGCAGTTTTGTTACTTTTGGAAATCTTAAAATTGATAGAGATGAATTAGTACTCTTGCATTTGCTTTTTTAGTGTTGCTTAAGTTCTATAACTGCAGGTTTTGGCATTTCTGTTAAATGCTACTGCAAAAGAAAGCTTATAACAACAAACGCTTGTGGAATGATGGACTTTCAAAGAAACCATCTTCTTTTGTCCAATGCGTAATTAGGTTCTCATGTAAACAAGCTGAATAGCGTACTTAAGGAAGTAAGCTCAAGAATGTACTATATTACAAGTACATATAATCCTTAGGTTGGGTATCTTGTACAACTTTGTTCCTCGGTAACACTGTATATATAAGTATATTTTATATTTCTAAGAATGTTTTATGTATAAAAATAATTTTGACCCCACTTGAAACATTGATGATGAATAGCTTGTTGGAAAAGTGGGTTCAAATTTTCCCCAAGGTCTTGAGTTCCAAACCAGTCAGAACTCTTTTATTTTTGTATACAGTTTTCCTATTTTTTCATATTTCATAAAAAATGTTGGCTACCTCTCTCTCTACCTCCCTTTCTCTCTCACTCTCTACTGAATCTTTTAGTTCAATTTAAAGGTCATATTGCTTCCTTCCATAGCTGTCTCTATCGTCAACTATCATCATCAGGTTTCTCTCTTATTTCTAATCTTTTTCTTGTACAGATAAATTAGGTCTATCTTATCATTAAGTGATTTAGGGATGACTAATTGACTATAACACATTGGATTCAGATTAATCTTGTTTTCTAAGTGTATGAATGCAGTGGCGGATCCAGAATTTTTATCAAGCGGGTTCAAAATGCAAAGATACAAATATATAAAGAGGTCAACAAAAAAATATATTAATAAAATATATTATTACAACTGTCCTTTACGAGTTTTCATTTCCTGAAACGTATTCATAATAGTTTCATCAGAAATGGTGTAAAATATTTTTCTTTCTACATAAGGTACCAAACAACCGCTCATGAATTCGTCATTCATTCGGTTTCGCAATTCACACTTGATCAACTTCATCGTCGAAAAAGTTCTTTCAACGGTAGCAGTGGCAACAGGTAGAAGCAAAGCAAATTTCACAAGGCGAAATACAAATGGATAATTCAAATGCTTCTTTGTCTTAACTAGTGTTTCAGAAAGATCAACAAGTCCTTGTAGATTTGACCAAAAAAGTCTCCATTTAGATCGTCCATAATTGCTTTAACTGTTTCAATTTTACATGCAATGATAATGTCTTTCTGAATTTTATGAGAAGTCAACTGATCATTCTTTGGAGCCTTCTTCAACACAAGATCACGAATTTTATCGCACCTCTTTGCATACCATGAAAGAATCTCAAGAAAGTTACCCTTGTTTAATGATAATTCATCTTCACGATGTCCACGGAATGCTAATCCTTGATTCAATAGGAGTCTCGCCACCTCAATTGAAGCCTTCAAGCGAATTTTGTATTCGAGCTTGGTTTGACTGGATTGCCTATCAAATGAAGTTTGAATTGACTGTTTTTGTTTTAATAGATCTTCACATTTCCTTTTTACTTGATTATGAATACTGCTCGACCCATGCATATCTAATCTATTCTTTTTGTGCCAACTCTTAAATCCTAAACTTGAAAATACATCACCTCCACCTTGATGAATGCCTTCATCTTGAAATAAGTAACAATATAAACAGTAAGCTGCATCTTCTATCACACTATACTCCAACCAATTATGATATCTTTTAAACCATTTAGGATTGAAACGGCACTTTAAGCCCGAAAAATCTCTTTGAGGAAACTTATGATATCGGGGTTGGCAAGGTCCTCTTCTAATCTCATCACGCTCATTTGGATGAAAGTCGCTAATGGGTAATCTCTTCTTTGGATCAGTCTTTAAAGAATCGAGATCTATTCCTTGTCTTTATTTTTTAGAGGATTGAGGTTGTTCTACTAATTTGTTCAAATTTTCTTCCACGGGAGTAGCAATTAGAGAGGATGAACTTGATTGTGGCAACTTGGAAGATACCAAAGGATAAAATCTCTTCATTGTAACATAAACTGGATTACCAAATTAAATTCGAATTAGAAGAATAATTTAATTAAACTTAAATTTAAACTAATATTTATTCATTCTTCACCAATAATTTTATTTTATTTTATTTTACATATCATTATATTATAAAACAGTTAGATGAGATTTTAATCATCATTAAAGAGCTTTGGACCACAACTTTAAAAGTTCAAAATGTCTTTACATGAGTTATTGTTTTCATCACAACTTTTCTTGAAGAAACAAAGAGAACAAATAAAAAAAATCAGCAATGCATTTTCTAGTAATGAGCAAGTATTTTAAAGCAGATTACTTATATCATGGAATAATTGAGTTAATTGAAAGGAACACCTATATAATGCATTTAGCCAAACACAGATACACTCATACAGGGGCGGACCTACGTAGGGTCGAGAGGGTTCAAATGAACCCACTTCGTCGAAAAATAACATTGTATATATAAGTATATTTTATATTTCTAAGAACGTTTTATGTATAAAAATTATTTTGACACTACTTGAAACATTGATGACGAATAGCTTGTTGGCAAAGTGGGTTCAAATTTTTCCCAAGGTCTTGAGTTCTAAACCAGTTGGAACTCTTTTTTTTTAATACAGTTTTCCTATTTAAATACGACGTCGTTTATGTCTAAAATACAACACCCTAATTCCCAAACTAACAGCCCCACTTCTGTTTTCTAGATATATATATATATATATATATATATATATATATGTATGTATATGTGTATGTATGTGTATGTGTGTGTGTATACAGTAACTTGTTCCATCTACCGAACTTCCTGGCGCAATCATGTCAAAGGCTCGGGCAAACTAACACTGTGGTCGACACAAACCAACTCCCCCCCCCTCCCCACACACACACTAAGAAGTTTTCTTTGAGTCGAGGGTCAACAGGGAATAAGGAAACTCTGGGACAACACTGGGGCAAATGACGGATCCGCCACTTGCCTAAGATTATCTCTCCTTATTTTTACTTAAAATTTTCTAGTACACTTAAAGCTAACTCTTGAATCCTCTGCAGGTGCCTCGGAGTTAGATAGCTGACACATAAATTTGTACATAGCAAACCGCATGCTCACCTAATCGGAGCATCTTGTACAAAACGAATCGTCGGCTTCACCAATCGAAGTCTTGTATATAGAAAATCGCATGCTCAATCAATCGGAGCACCCTGTATAAATCATACTTCGGCTTCACCAATCGAAGTCCTGTATATAGCAAACTGTCAGCTCAAGCAATTAGAGTGCCTTGTACAAATCAAATGGCGACCTTGTATATAGCAAACTACAAACTTCGCCAGCAAAAGCAATTCGCAGCATCGCTCCATCAATCACGTACACCTGGACAGAAAATGGCAAACCGCGTTACCAACGTCCTGCCAATCGATGGCCACAACCTAGCTTCGCAGTCACGAGTATCTCTTGGGCATGCTTTTGTTTCCTTTACTATTACTTTGAATTCTTTGGCGTTTTGCTCATGCAACTTTAGGTATGGTTACGATTTTTATCAATCACTCCCGAACGGAGAATAATTTACATTTTAGTGCAAAGCTCTCCCAACAAGCGGAGACGCACTTAACAAATCGAACTCTCCCAACAAGAGGATACATCTCTCAGTGCAAAAGCTCCCCCAACAAGCGGGGACGCACTTTACCAATCAAGCCCTCCCAATAAATGGAGACAATTTTCAAATGCTCCGACAGCTGCGGAACGGTTCACAGCCCGGCTAACAAATCGAGTTAGGATCTAGTATCCCATCATCCTAATCCCAAATAATGGTTCGCCGGTAGCCAGGCATCATCATTCCTGCATCAGTTACATCGCATCTTAATATATTCTACATTACAATATATTGGTGTGCGTGTATTTAATTTGTTTTGCATGAACAAACACCTTATCGTGGAACTTTTTCTTAGCAGCCGACCGAACTACAACGCTATGGGGACATCCAACCCAGTAGCGTGCCTAAGATCCCAGCTCATGACGATCAGCGAGCTCGAAATTTTGAATCATTCAAATCAGGCTGCAAAATTCAAGCTACCATGAGAGACAAACCTTCCGTCTCACCATATCGTCGCAATACGTTACTAGGGCAATTCCTGCGAGTGCCGCTTCCCTAAAATTCCTACTACAGAACTACATGAGGCCTGATTCTCATTAAGCCCGAGGTATGTAAGCAATTCAAAGCTAGAATTCGGCCCAATACACCCGAATATTTCTAGATTCTTCCTCAATTCAATATTGCAATTCACCATTCCCGTTTCTTGCAATACCTGCCTAAAAGTCGAGACGAAATTGGCTTTGGTTTAATTTCTTTGCCCGAAAACTCTTTCATCGTTTCCGGTCAAATAGGGGCAGCCGATAACGACCAATTTTGACCCTCCCTTTTAAAATTATTTTATTTATACTTAATGATTTGCAATAAATATTTTCAAAGTATTTTTCAGTAATGAATACCTATTTCTAAAAATTAATTCAGTGTTAATTTCAAAATTAATTATTTAGTATTAGTATTATGTGATTACAAATTATATTTACTATTTTATGATTATTAAAATAATTTCTATATGTAAGTTCTATGATTAATTTAATAAATTATTTCTTAAAATAGTTAATTGGTTTACTATTTCAATAATTCAAAATTAATGTACTAGTGAAGTATTTTTACAAATAATCAATTAATTACAATAATAAGTAGTATTTAACAAATGTAATTTTCTACCACATTTATTAAAAACTATTAAGTTTATTTAACTTAATTTCAAAAGAAATTAAAGACCAAAAGGCCACAATTCCAATTCTTGAATCAATTATAAAATGTCTACCTTTTAAATAATTTTTAGCCCAAATACAAGGCCCAATTCGGACCTGACCCAGCCCAAACACCCATCTCCTTCTCCACTTTGGCAATTCATGCCACTCTCCCTAAACCAATCACAACGTGCCACATCACTTATGTCTCTTACTCACAAAGAAAGCGCAACAAATCTAGACCGTTGATCTATCAGATCAATGGCCCACGTTTTATCCCCAATTTTCTTTAATTTTTGTATCTCCCCAGAGACCTAATATCGACCGTCCAAATTCTATCATCTAACGGCTATCAATTTTCCCTATTTAAATCATTTCTAAATTCCTAATTATCAAAATGATCGGAGCCGTTGATCAACAGATCCAACAGCTCCCATTCCATCTCTCTATCTTAACTCAGAGCCGACCAACCTCCCTCCCCAAATCCTAATAATTTCACTCAGAGACCTAGCCGCCTCTCTTTTCTCTCAACCTTACGATCTCAATCAGTCACACAAACCTTGCACAAATTAGTGCAAAGTCACAAATCGATCAAAGATTTCATTTCTTTGCCTTCTAAATCCGCGAATC